AGATTGATACCTTATGGGAGATGGTCTTAAAATAATGATCTTTGATTTGCTCCAATCCTTGGAATCGCCTTCCTAAAGTATGACAAGGTTAGTAGCAGTTTTAAAGCAAGGGTAATTGGGATTTTGTTTTAAATCCTTTATTGAAACAGAATAACTCCCCGCTCCCATTTTATCTTCTATCAAACATCTCATTTGTGTCCTGTCTGTTTTACAGTAAATGAAATATCCTGATATGAAAGTATTTGTCTATTGTGTCCAAACATGTTTTGCCTAATCTGTTATAGGGAGTTGTGTCCTTTTAAAACTTTATATTGTGACTTCTCAAAGACAGGTATTGCTCATATATTGTGGTGAGTAGATAATTTGGAATGTAAAGAGACCCATATGAAACTGCACAGTCTGCCCCTTTATTGTGCTATCATTCACTGACATATTGATAGTTTGCAGTGGAGTTTACCTGCAAACAGTCACTTTTTTTAATTGAAAGAACACTGTCAATTTAGAAATGGCATATTTTAAACAAACCGTTTCCTTATCCAGGTTACTAACAAGGCCTTAGAGTTAATAAAACTGCACGTAATTATAAAATCCCCATATATTTTTCATTATTAATGACATTTGTCTACTTTTTATTGCATTTCTTTTAGCTTGGAGAATGCTGTCAATTTCACTTCCAGGTTGTTAGTGCCATAACATTTAGATTGCAAACAGAGCAGGGGTCATGTTTGTTTGTAAACAACAGTTTCCTTGCATACTTTTAAAAAAGAAAATCAGAGATCTTTCTACTGCTCTTAACTTTAGTAAAAGCCTGATATTGAATAATCTAAATTTGAATTGGTGGTGATGCCTTAAATAATATTGAAATCAAATTAAATTAGTTCCTTTAATATGAAGTCTAAAGTGGGTTCAACTGTGAAAGAACGAAGCACTGTTAAAAGTCAGTGAATGCCTACAACTTTCCCTTTTAAAACAATGCTTGGTTCGCTTACTGTCCTCATTGGAACAGAGTCTGGGGTTCAGAGGTCTCAAATAGGGCAGATACCAGAGATGTGGGTATGAATAGGCAAGAGAAAGCCCGTGGGCCTTGTTTTGTTTGATTCTGATGGCCTCTTACAATATTATCAGAACTTCTTGGGTGCATTCATAGTAATGTAATTCACTAGTCCCCTATATGTTATCTTATACTCATGTAGACCCCTATTCAGCAAAGGGCTTGAGCACATGCTTAATGTTAAGTTCCTGCTACTGACGTACATGCTTAGAGGTAAACACTGGGCTGGATCTGGGCCGGAATACTCAGCACCTTGCATGATTGAACCCTTATGGGCATTTTCAGAGTAATTTGTCTTCAGCAGCTGGCCACACAGTACATTCTTTCAGTAATTTTACACATATGAGTTGGCCCATTTAGTGAGACCCCTCACAGGTGTTGAAGTTATTCACATGTGTAACAGTTTGCAGGATAAAAGCCTTAGGCAAAACTTAATTTACCCTTGATTTCAATGGGGAGTTCTGCTTAAAAATGGATTATATGATATGGCAAAATTAACATATTTTAGCAAAGAATTTCCCCAGCAACATAAATGCAGGTATTAAAGGTAGGTCAGTCAGAAAACTTCTAGAAATAAAATCGTCTTTGATCAATTCATTTCTTTTAATACTTAATATAAAGTAAGCAAATAAACACACTTCTTACCCTTTATTCCTATCTCTTAAATAATGTTATTAATAGTCTTACAATTGCTTTAAGAAAACCAGTGCAAAATTGATGACAAAAGTAGATACGTGATTTCTCAAGCTGCCATTAGTGAATCAAGTAATTCGTGTGACTCAGTCAGACCCATTGCTATGCGACAGATGACATTTTTTCTTTTGAGATCCCAAGAATGAATGAACTGGGTTCCACTCTCACTTAAATCTGTGGAACCTCATTAACTTCAGTCTGGTCACATGGAGGTAATTGACTTTGAGGGCAGAATTTTTCTCGCCCTGTGACTCCTCAGTTTTGCTCTCTTTCTGGTTGAAAGTTGGTTGCGTTGCAAGCTTTTTCTGTTGCTAATGATCTAATGATAGCACTGGGTCTCAGGCTTTTGAGGACTGAGATCAGTTTCCCTTAAGCAGAATGTGATCTTAGAAAGACATTTTGATGACAGTTACAAAACTGAGTTAAGTAATATGCAATATCGACTTTTTGCCCTTGTTATGATGTTTAAATGTTCATTTAATTTCAAAGACTAGAAGTTAGCTAGGTTCAGTGAAGCATTCTTAGCATATGCGCAATATGCCTCAGGTTGCACGTGACCAGGAATCATCACTGAATTTGGTCCGCTGGTTGGATCTTTAGCTTCCCTGGCCCAGGCCAGGTACCAATGGGGTGTGTGACATGAATGCTGATCCAGGTCTCCCAGTGAAGCAGTTATGAACCCTATCTTTCCCACACGTTATGAGTGTTCAAATGGAGCATTAATGGGTTATTTCTTGGTTATACCTTAGCAGGTGCTGAGCTCACTGGGTTAGAGACCCATTTTCCTTTAAACTTCCCTAGCTAGTGAAGTACCATCTTATCACCATTTGAACTAGTGTCTTATAACAGTGGTTCTCAAAGCCGGTCCGCCACTTGTTCAGGGAAAGCCCCTGGTGGGCCTGGCCGGTTTGTTTACCTGCCGCATCCACAGGTTCGGCCGATGGCGGCTCCCACTGGCCGCAGTTTGCTGCTCCAGGCGAACCGCGGCCAGTGGGAGCCACGATCGGCCGAACCTGCGGACGCGGCAGGTAAACAAACAGTCTGGCCCGCCAGGGGCTTTCCCTGAGCAAGCGATGGACCGGCTTTGAGAACCACTATCTTCTAATGAATTATCTGCATTGATCAGCTTCCACATCCATTTAAAAACAAGCAAAGAAATGAATGCGTACAAATAGACAATTTAAAAAGTAACTTATTTTATAAAAGCACAGAAAAATATAGGTATTCTGATAGGTCAGCTATGGCTGTGCAGTGATTTTTAAATGATCAGGACAGGAGATTAGTAAATGTTAAATGTTCTTCTATATATTCAGCAAAACGTCTACAAATTGGGGGTGAAAATTGAATGCAGTCAAGGCGCTGTCCCTGTTGCATGAATTCAGAGCTGCTGCTCATTCCAGTTTCATTTAATATCACGTTCATTTGGTTTGAATTCTTGCTGTTTGCCCTTCACACATTTTGCAGCTCCTGAGAAGGATTACTGTTGCCTGCATATCTTAATGGCATGAATCTCTGGAGCCGTCTCAGATGTCTCGGTGACTTGAGCTTGATTTAAATAATTAATGAGCAACGTTAGTCAGAATGTATTGGTAATTCAAACTGCATTATCCAAGGATATGTACTGACAACTACAGATTGATCCAGACTTATTCCTTATTCCAGCCTGCGTTACACTAAAATTCACAAAGATCTTCTTGTTAACTCATGCAATAAACCCAGGCACACAACTAGTGTGACCAGATAGCAAGTGTGAAAAATCGGGATGGGGTGGGAGTAATTGTTTACATAAGACAAAGCACCAAATATTGGGACTGTCCCTATAAAAGCGGGACATCTGGTTACTCTACGCACAACTGATCTGCTGGTGGCTTTGAAGGGTTCTTTGAGACAGATGTAAAAGGAATTATAATGATAGTTTAGTAGGAAAAACTTATTTTAAGCACTAACAGATCTCTCTTCACTGGTGAGAAGCACCCCTGATTTTCTTTCCATATAATTGTTTCATTCTTTCAGGCTTTTCATAATTTCATTTTTAATGGAGTCAACTGCTGCTGTTGGTGGTGGTTGTTGGTGGTGTTGTAACGTTTACAGGCCTCAGCCAAAGTCAGGGCCCCATTGTGCTAGGCAGTGCGCAAACACATGGTCCAAGACTGTTCCTGGCCCGAAGGGTATGCACCCTGAATAGACAAAACAGACAAAGGATGAGGAAGGAAACTGAGGCACGGAGAAGTGAAATGACTTCCCCAAGGTCACACACCAGGTGAGTGACTGAGCCAGGAACAGAATCCAGACCGGCTGACATCGCTGGCCAATGCCCTTCCTGCTGCCTCTTGGGCACTTTTTCGTCATGATTGTTTTAGATATAAACTTATTTGGAATTTGTTTTTTTATGAGCTGAAAAAGCAGCCTTGCCAACTCGTTGCCCCATAATGCACTCCCCATCAACACCAGCTTTATGGCTGCCTCTTAATGAAGGCCTCTCTCTGCCGGTCCTGACAGCTCATGCACCTTTAAAGGGAAGAGTTAATCCCTTTGCTCCCCAACTGGGGGCGTGGTGCATATACACCCCATCACACAGCCTCAGACAAAATGGATCTAATCTTTCTGGGATGGTTTTGTGGCTAAAACACAGGAATTAGGGCTCTGGTTTCTATTCCCGGCTTATCCAAGGTGGACCTGTGTGACCGTGGGCGTCTTGCTTAATCTCTCTGTGTCTCATTTTTCCCATCCAGAAAATGGAAGATGATGATTTTTCCTCCCCTCATATGAGTGTTGCGAGGCTTAATTAATTAATGTTTATAAAGATCGTGTGAGTCCCTCTGATAGGAGGTGCCACAGAATGACAGTGGCTTGTTATTTAGTGTGACTATACTGATGGTGAAAGAAGACTTTAGTATGATATAAGAAATAGGTCTAAATAATAATTCAGAGCTGTCTTGCTACCTGTAGGGACCACTCAGTTCCTCAGAACTACTCCAGGTGGCAACCTTGCCTAAGTACTTGTTCAGCAGAATCCAAGTGTGTCTGCTTTTTCGCACCACCCGTTGGAAAGCCCCTCTAGCAGAGATTAAGGAAGTCATTGCCCTTTTCAGTTTCATGTCCCCATTGGAAAGTTGTCTCACCACCGGTTTTTAGGATGTTCTTTTGTTTTGTTTTGTGTTTTTTTTTTTTACTGTATGCACAAAATAATCTACTGCACGAGTAATAAGCAAATGCTTCTTCCTTTCCTTTCTTTCCTTCTTTTGACCCAGGTACTGTGGACATGGGTGGCAAACAGTCCACAGTTGGCGACGTCTCCGTAGGTCACTTCCCTGTGATAGGAAGCATTCAGGATGCTTACAAAAGTGGAGACACCAATAAGGCCCAAGAGCTGATTAAACTCTCATGTGAGGAGAACATATTACAAGTGGAAAAGGTAGAGTATGTGTTATCTGTCATCAGGTCTCATTGGAAAAGAAACCTACCAACTCTGGGCTTGGATCTGCAGTTGTTTCTCATGCAAAAGGCCCATTCACTTTTATCTTACAATATTACCCAGAAACCTGCAAAAGATTGGAGTCTTATTGTGCTGGGCACCGCACAAGCACGAAGTAAGAGGCAGATCTGCCTTCAACTTTCTAAATAGACAAGAGCGCCAATGGTTTGGAGAGAAAGCAGGCACAGGTAGGTGAAGTGGCCTATCCAAGCTCACGTAGCAGGTCAGTGGAGAGCAGGTGGAATCCTGGTTCCAGTAAAGTCAGTGACAAAACTCCTGTTGACTGTGATGGGGTCAGGATTTCACCCCAAGTTTCCCGACTCCCAATCCTCTGCCCTGGCCACTGCACCTTACTGCAGTTTTGCCTGGGTGAGGACTGAGTAAGCCCTGCAAGATTTAGCGCTTCACTTCTAGATGCTATTTCCAGATGATCTGCTTGGTTGCAGGGAAAGGAAAAATAATTCTTGCACCCTCGTTTCAGAAACTGTCAATTAACCATTCGTTCTTCACTGACTGTGTAAAGTGAATGGTTTTACTCAGAAAAATGACTTGGTAAAAACGGTTTGGGGAGGAAGGTTAGTGTCATGGTGTGTCATGATTCCAGAAAATGAGGCCACTCGTGGCAAAATACAGTCTAGATTATGGGGTAAATGGTTTAGTAATCTGTATTAGCCCAACAGAGGCTTGTGCTTTGAGTTTTGTTTTTGTTCCATTTCTGTTTGGATGTCACTGGAGACGATAAAGGGGCTGTTGCAGCCACTTGGACAAAGCTATTGGCTTCTTTCATGCCAAGAGTAGTGTGACTTTTACCTTGCCTACCCTACTGGCTGCTGGTTCTTTTAGCTTTGATAGGAGAGGCTCATGCGTTTAGATCCAGAGGTCCCGGCTTCAGTTCCCATCAATGACCTCTCCAGGGGCATTGCGTAACGCCAGCAACAGAGCAGGCAGTTCCTTCAGGTCAAGGTTGAGGTTTCATATGAGGCAATTCAAAGGAAATGTACAATGTGTCTGGCTGCCCTGAGCCTCTTCCAGAGTCTACATCACAGACCTTGATTATCTTTGGAAGATACGGAGTTGTTTTAATATAGAATGAAAACTTACATTCTGTGGTTACACAAAAAATGTAAAATCTTATCTACGCACTGTAGTAGACTGTTCCAATAAAGAAAACAGATGGAGTCAGTGAGGTAATTTAGAAAAGCATTTACAGAAAAGAGATTTTGTCAGCCGAGAGACTGGTTTTCCCAAAAGCCATAGCATGTGTAATACAGTAATATCAAGTCCTAAGTATTACTATTGGCAATGAATGACGGTCTGTATTCAGGACCAAATTTGGGAGGTCTGTATTCAGGCCCAGATTTTACTATATGCTTCCTCTGTGACCCTGGACTCTTAATCTCTTTCTGTCTCAATTTCCCATCTGTAAAATGGGGATGATAATTCCCAGGGGTGTTGTGATAAATTCATTAGTGTTTGTCAATAGAGCTCATATACTACAGTGATGGGGGACATTTAACTACGTAGCTAGAAGGTCCCCGTTATCACAGTCTATCTACTTCATAGTCCTCAGAAAAAGATGTGAGAGGGAGAGATTACCTTGCCTTATTCTGCTGTTTTCTCCACTAGTGCCAACTTTTGAGTATTGCATCAGCATATGGAGATCTGCATGCAGTGAGGTATTTACTCAAGGAAGCATTGGTGGGGTTACCAACGGAACCCAATGATGATAATCCGGCTGTGGTGGCGGCATATTTTGGACACGAGGACATTGTGAAGGAATTATTGGATTCTTTGCTCGGTACGTTTTTTTTGTCTCACTGTCTGTTGGTGACCAGCTTGTTCTCCTCCTCCTCGCCCCCACTTTTGCACCAGCCTCAGGGGATTGCAGAGTTGTGTTGTAGATTCAAACCAGCACTACTTTTTTTCTGCCTCCTCTGGGAAGGGAAAGTGGGTGGCAGGATCTGATGTCCCTTGTGCCTTGAGACAACTTCCCTTCTGGGAAAAAATAGTCCATGTTTGCTAACTGGAAATCGGACAAGAAGCCTTTTTTGGCAGTTAATTCCCATCAATCGTCACAGCTGGGTTATGTCCCAGCCCCTGCAGAGAACAGAGAGTATTTTCAGGAAGCACAATCCCACTTAAAAAAGTGTTCTGGCACTCTGCAGTGATAAAGTTCAGATGGGTCGTGAGCCAGTGCCTGTTGAGTGAGCATTGGTTCGAGCTCATAGACAGCAGCAAATTTTCTTCTCTTTTGTTGTTGGCTTTTTCAGCTTTTCTTTTCGGGAGGGTTGTTTGTTATTTTGAACATGCTATTTATTTTAATGATGTGAAGTTACTGTTGATGGAAAAGGCTAAAGCTCCAAACCCCAGTGTAAGAGCAGATGCAGTGTTCTGGTGCAGCCCTACAAGGTTGCAACTGCAATACTCTAGGCATCAGGGCAGTCCATTTTAAACACCTGGTCCTTCATTCATGAGGGCTAATGGGTTTTTTTTGCCATTGACTGCAGTGGAAGCAGGATGAACCTGTTAAAAGACAGGTAGATGAGCTTTTAATTTTTAAAAATACATTTAGAAAGCGAAATAGCAATAGAAAAATTTCCATCTCTATTAAAAATAGTTTGGGGGTTGAGTTTAAACATCCCCCTACCAGGTTTGCAATGCAGACATTGCATTATTGTGCTGGGTCGCTGGAACAGAAAATCAAACTGGCCAGACCATTTTTATGACCCAAGCGGAGAAGGGGAAACGGGAGGAAGCAAGCCATATTAAACAGTGAAAATTAAATTAGATTTTAAAAAATCTGTTCAGTCTCAGTCATCAACGATGGTTTTAGTAAGACAGGAAATTTAGATCAGTTTGAAGCAGACCAAGTCCCTGTTAGACTCTGAAGCTAACTAATAAGAACATTGCAATGATTTCTTTTACACTTTCAAGGTTTTTTTTTTTTCTGAGTTACAAGCACTATAACCTTCAGTAGATTTTTATGCAGGACTCCCCACTGATTACCATGAAAATATCATGTTTGCATCAGCACTAGGGCATGATGATAATAAATGACCTATATATCCCGTGCCAGGAGTCATACTCTGGCAGATTTGCTACATGACTCTCATTGGGAAGGGATGGCCCAGTTAAAATGTTCAAGTCCGTAGCTTACTGTTGAACTGGCACCTGGCTTTCAGGATATGAGATTCGGTGGTGTTGTGGAGTTGCTAAGGGTGAAGAGGGTGAGGTAATTTCAGCTGAGAAATTGTGAAGAGGTTGCATGTAAATTCAAGGGTGTAGACCTTGCAGGGCTCCAGCTCACGCCTGCTGTGAACGTTTTATGCAGGATGTTACTTGGTAACATAAATGGAAACTGACTGTTAGTTTGTGCATATTAAATGTAAGTCTGGGAAGGTTTATGAGGAATGCCTGGGGTGTATGCTGAGAGACCATGTCAGGAAGCCATTTAATCATATAAGGCAAAAGTCAGGCACATCCTTGCGCAAAGCCTAAGGAAATGGGCTATCTTGGGGGATGGAAACCAACCCTCATCCACTGGCAGAGGGTGGGTCAGCTCTGCAGCCTCTGGACTCAGTCATCCTGCTGGGATTTATGGACCTTCGATCCACCTAATTGCAGCCTGCTAACCAGCCGCCAAACTCTCTTCTGCACTGGCCTGTGAAGAGCTGGTATAGAGCTTAGCATTGCCATGGGTGTGAAGTCTCCCCGAATGCCTGCTCTGCAGCCACGTATCCCCATGGCGGGTCTGCTGCTATTCTGGGCTATTCTGGGCCCCCAGTGCTGCTGGGTGAATGTCATGAGAATTACCCCTCGGCTTGATGGGAAATGAAGAACAGAATGGACAGCACTTAGCATCTACCTCAGTTAAGCAAAGAGAGTGCATCTAGTTAGGTTAGGATTCCTCTAAAGGATGCTGTAACAGCATAATCAACTGCCTGGCCATTTGGGGCCTCTTCCTGTATGTCCTGCCTTTTAAGTTGTTAATGATCAACTATCTCGCATCCAAAGCAGCAAATAAAGTCAATGTCTTATCGTTCTGACAGGCCCCAGTAATTTCCAGCGACTCCTGAACTGGATGCTGGCCATCTCCTGCCAGCAGGGACACTTGGCAATAGTTAAATTCTTAATCCTCACGTACAATGCTGACCCTGGGAGCTGCGCAGTAAGGAAGAATGAGTTTCCAATTCTTACGAGATTGCCCCTGTATGCAGCTATAAAGGCAGGTACGTAATTGCACATTCCGCACCTGTGTCCCTTTTTCGATGATGATGTCTTCTAAAGAATGGGCCAAATTCTGCTCCCTCTCACGTTGGTGTCAATGTGGATTGACTTATCTGGAGTTATTATGGATTGACACCATTGTCAATTTGGCCCTGAGCCTTTTGTCAAATTTAAGGCGAAAGCCCTGCAAAATGGAGTAAACTCAAACCATGGGAGACTCAGAACTTCCTCCAGACGGTAATTCTTTTATAATAAATGCTCTGTTTACATTTTCTAGTTAGAATTTCTTTGAGGTTCTTGCCTTTTTTTTTTTTTTTAAACAAACATATCAGTCAGATACATTCTTTGACATCTAGATCTGATTTGGAATGAATATCATTTATATTAAAACGCTGCTGCCGCGCATACATCTTTACAAGATGCTAAAAATGAAGTAGCAGCCGAACAAATACATTTAACTTTGTTCAATGTTTTGAAGGTTTGACTGTAGCAAGAAGCATAGGTAGAGGAAACAGGCTTATTTAGTTTAGTTCCTTTTTTACACACCCAGGCTGGTTTTTTTTTTTAAAAGGGTTAGTTCCATAGCATTTACGGTGTGGCTCCTTGTGGCTTCGTCCTTTTGAAAACAAGAGTACACATAGTATGTCTTTTCTTTAAAGGGAATGAAGATATAGCTGTGTTTTTACTTCAGAACGGGGCTTGTTTTTGTTCTTACATCCTGATGGACAGTCCCGATTCTAGCAAGCACCTTCTGAGGAAATATTTCATAGAAACAGCCTTACTACCTGGTAGCGGTCCAGCAAAAACAGTAAGTAGCCATTTATCTGTCTTCTGAGAAGGTGATATAAGAAAGCGTCATACTAATAATTGATGCTTATCTTTGCATATTGTGCAATGGGTATTTTTTCATCTCATCTAAGAGGTGGTTTGCTATCATATACAGAGCAACCTGACATTGTCTGCTACAAAGTGGCTTACAAGTCAATGATGAAGTATAAGCCATAAATAATTGGGTCCATTAAACGATATCCTTTTGCAAGCCACAATATATATATATATATAGTAATTTCCACTTGATCATTTTAATATTATGCATGAACTATGATGGTGTTTGGGAAAGGAAAGGTTGGTTTTGTAGTACAGGCACTGGATTGGGACTCAAGAAACCTGCATTCAATTCCTTGCTCTGTCACAGACTGCCTATGTGACCATGAGCAAGTCACTTAATTTCTGTGTGCCTCAGTGCCCTATCTATCAAATATGGCCAGTAGAGCTTCTTTTCTCTCACCCTTTGTCTGTCTTGTCTATATAGATTGTAACAACATCAGGGCAGCCTCTTACTATGTGCATGTACAGTGCCTAGCACAGTAGGGCCCAGGTGTCAGTCAAGGCTGCCAGGTGTCACTGCAGTAATAAAATGGTTCATATTTACTTTTCCACATTCGGGTCATTTATGCAGTTTTTTGGTAGGATGTATATGGGTGCAGTCATTTTGTTCCTCTGAATAAGAAGCTAATAAGTTTTAGGTTGATGCGGGGGGGGGTCATTCATGACTTAGCCAGTGACTTATAGCATGAACTCGGGCAGATTACTTAACTGCCTCAGTTTCCCCACCTGTGATAATTATTTTGAGATCCTCAGATGAAAGATGCTGTGTTAATGCAAAGTATTATTATATTTCACTGTTTTATCATACTTGTTTAACTACACTATCCCCTTCATTATTTCAACTTCAGTTATCCACAGCTCCCTCTTATCCAAAACTGGGTTATGTCCTACAACACCTGTTTTCGGAGCTACATAGATAGGTATGTAGATAATCAATAGAACGTTTTCTCAGTACTCCAGCACCTAAATTATCTCAAATTACTCCCCTTCTCCCTTGACATTTAGATAACTGAGGCTAAAAATGAATATCTAACCCTGAGCCTTTCATAGTCACGTTCTTCATCAGGTCATAGAAAATTGGGTGAGGGAGATGACACTGGCAAAAAGCTCTGCTTGTACAAATCCCATTGCAGAGTCAGTGTCGATGTTTGCCGAGCACTTAGCACAGTGGAGCCTCAATTCTGGCTTTATAGATATGAAATACTAATAAATAAAGGGGCTCTAGTGTTATACACTTCTCCCTTCTCCATGTGATTGCCAGAGCTCCCTCTCACTACTCGAGATAAAGCTGTGCAAGACAGGAACTTCAATCCACACATGTCAATTCTATTTTACCCAGTTGCCCTTTGATTTACCGAATCTCTCAATTTAATCAGGAGCGCTAAATTCTGCCTTACTCACGCCTTGTCTACACTTAAAAGTCATACCAGCATAGCTACATCCGTCAGCGAAGTGAAAAACCAACATCCCCCTAGCTATGCCAGCAAAACCCCCAGTGTAGATGCAGCTTTGTTGACGGAAGAGGGGTTCTATGAGCATAGCTAACTGTCATCTGGGGACGTAGTGTTCCTACACTGACAGAAAAATTCCTTCTGTCTGTCCGGGCTGTGTCTACACTACAGAGCTATGCTGATATAACTATGCCAGCATAGGTTCCGTAATGTAGACATTGCCTCAGTTTTATATGGCCTGGTGGGGAGACTGATTCTTGCAAGCTCAGGGCTTGTTTTTAGTTTGCCCAGTGAAAGGAACCGCACTGTACATTCTTCTTCACATTTTCAAACCCACCTGTTAGAACTTAATATTAGGTATAAAGCACTGGGGCTGGGATATTAAAAGGAACTTAAGGGTACAAATTGCAGACACTGACTCCCATAAGTTCCTTGGAAACTCCCAGCTATGATTTTTATTTATATTCATTATATGTCTGTGTAGCCCTCACTAAAATACCCAAGAGCTGTGAAATATGGAAAACCTATGTGGACCAAATTATCAGTGATGTTGGGGAGGACTCCATTTATGTGCATACAACCTTCCACAGACTGGTAACAGGACACCCATTTGTGTACACAAATAGAGTTTATTTAGCAAATTCTGTCAGTTGCATGCACAAGTGATAATGAGCAAAAAAACCAACAACTCTTTGTGGAAGTGCATGTGCTTAAAAACTGCACATGCACACACATTGTGCAAAATATTGTTCTATGCATACAAATATTGTACTGTAAATGCATTATTGACAGTCCATTGGAAGTCTCGTAAAGTCATGCAGCATTCATCCTTGGCTTTTTTTTAACCTCATTAGCCTGTACGTTGGCCCAATTTATACTTGTCTGCAATCAAAATGGAATGACATAAAGTGAGTAAAATCTCCAGTGAAGCTGTTTTTTTAACAGATTACACCAAATCACTTGTCACCAAAGTGATGGTGATGGTTTCCCAGACTGCAGAATTGCACAGGACGCAGCTTACTGTGCAGCAAGAAATTGTCCTGTGCAAAACACTCAAGTTTAGGCTCCCGGCCGAGCTGTCACTTTAACTCTGTGATTATATGCTACTAGCTTCACAGGAGGCTGGTGCTTGTAAATTTAGGGGTTGCATTATGTAATGTGAGAAAGAGGCTGGATGTCATATGTCACAAGAACAGCAAGTGAGTTTCTGTAGAGTTAAGGGCATTTTACTACAGTCTGGAGCTAGCAAAATAGTTTTATATGAGACTCCCAAGGGAGTGTAGGTGGAAGAAAGTGGGGATGAATCTAAGGTTATTTCTTAGCTTTTGATGACAGATGAATAAAAGGAGATTAATTAAGCCCACGAGTGGCTGAATAGCAGCTGAGACAACTAAGTAATATACTTGTGCTTGTGCAGAAGAGATGCTTTCCAAACGAGTAGATATCCCACTTGAATACATCGCAGAATACAAGTCTGAAGTGCAGTACAGGGAATTGTTTTCCATGTGAACATCCTGACATATTTAATGTAGGCTCTATTATAAATGGCTTAATACTTTGCTTAAGAGGGAAGAAGAGAGGAGTTTTGAACGATGAATCGATTAGCAGAAACTTGGCCCTGTTTCTCATGGTTTATTTTTGTATGTTGAATATTTTAGGTTTTCTGTTTGAATTAGCTTTGATATACTGGGCCAAAATTCACATCTAGTGTAAATCCCCTGGCATCAAAGGACTCCTGCCAGGCATGAAATTGGCCTGATGTCTTTGCGAAGTTCAGGTCTTTGAATAATTGGAATGATGCAGTTCAAGAAAGCGCTTACATGTGCGCTTAAAGTTGATTATGTGCTTAAGTGCTTTCCTGACTAGAGATGGTTTGCTGAATCTGGGCTGGGACGAATATGCCCCCAGTGCCCACTTGAAGGAGGAGGAAAGTAAACATTCTCTTCTTCTTTCCTCTAATTAAAGCAAGGACTAGACAACAGCAACCACTAAGATAGGCAATGGATAATTTGGCCCCAGACTCCATAGCATTCCATGGGAATTAGAGGCATATACAAACTCTCTCCCTTTGGGTGAGACATACCAGGTGGTAATATTTTTAGTCTCAGGCCAGGACAAAAAAGAAAAAGAAAAGAGATTACTCCATCTTTGCTTTCAGTGGGTGGAAAACATCCCAGTTAGGTGCTCAAAAGGGATGCTGGCCCTTTGCACAGCCATGAATTTCACCTAGTATGCATAAAATATTTTATTATTAGGACAGTCGGTTTACACCTACTGAACCTCTCAGACAGCTGCAATGCTGTACAGAGCACTACTTGCTTTCACCTCGTCACGCTACAGAGGGAGAAAGATGAAGGCTATTTCTCACTTTTCTTAAGCCTGTTTCTCTTTTTTCCTAATATAAAAATCCACCCAGCCACTGCCACAATAAAAAGAGGAAACGCTCCATTTATATAGGAACAGGTTGCAATCACCAAAATATACACTGCATTAAAGTGCAGTTTAGCAGGGCACAGATTCCAGGCATTCAGATGAATGTAGTCTGTGCACAGATATATATACAACTTTCCAGCTGCACGTAGTGTCAAGAATATTTTTTCCATTACAAATAGGAAAAGAGCAAAAGAAACTGTTGCCACTTTCCTAATGAGCCCCTTTGATGTGTGTGTGAGAGAGAGAATCTTCTCTGACTTCTTCACCATGCACAGGGCTGATTGCTGCTATCAGTTACTCCATTGCTGATACAGAAATCTTCACTGGCTATGCTCCAGAGTCACTCTGGCATTGGGCCTACAATCCTTACATTGTCCCTTCCATGGCAAGAGTGGCAGTCTATTAGACCAAGTCAAGCCAGTTAAAGAAAGTGGATGATGCAACATCTTGGTTCATGTACAAGAGCTTATCAGACAGCCTAGGTTTCTGGTAAATAATATTTGCTCGTTAGCAATTAGTAAATCAGCATCACTCCACCCAGCAGAAGAATTTTAACTAGGAAAGAATTTTAGAAACTAATTTAGCTAGAAAGGATTTTTACACTTCTGCAGAATCAAGTAGCCAGCTCCTTGCCAAGATTTAAAGGAAATTCCAGAATAGGACAAACAGCAAAACTCCAGCCAATTATCCTACACCTCCCTTTGATAGTGGATGCATAATGTAACCAAAGTCTTCCATTTAGAAGCAGCAGGGTGCTCCTGACTAGTTCCAGTTAGTTTTCAAGACTGGGAAGGGGACAGATGATTGAAAAATGCTTACCATGGTAGGGTAAAAGGGGTCTGTAGAAGCCTTCTTTGGTGGTATTGAAACCAGTAAGTCATTCGTGGGCAGGCTGTGTATAGAGACTGTTAGTCTATTAGGACTAGAGAGCATGGGGCGCACTCTGTGGAGCCAATAACAGAATAGTTGTATGCCCCAATGCAATGCCACTCTGTTTGTTTGTTTATTCTAATCCCTGGGGTTCTGAGAGTGACAT